ATATAGACACCAAGGACAATACATACATCGTATATAGACACCAAGGACAATACATACATCGTATATAGACACCAAGGACAATACAGACATACAACGTACATAGACACAGGGACAATACAGACATCGTATATAGACACCAGGGGCAATACAGACATACAACGTACATAGACACAGGGACAATAGAGACATCGTATATAAACACCAGGGACAATACAGACATCGTATATAAACACCAGGGACAATACAGACATACAACGTACATAGACACAGGGACAATACAGACATACAACGTACATAGACACAGGGACAATACAGACATCGTATATAGACAGCAGGGGCAATACAGACATACAACGTACATAGACACAGAGAGAATTACAGACATCGTATATAAACACCAGGGACAATACAGACATCGTATATAAACACCAGGGACAATACAGACATCGTATATAAACACCAGGGACAATACAGACATACAACGTACATAGACACAGAGAGAATTACAGACATCGTATATAAACACCAGGGACAATACAGACATCGTATATAAACACCAGGGACAATACAGACATACAACGTACATAGACACAGGGACAATACAGACATCGTATATAAACACCAGGGATAATACAGACATCGTATATAAACACCAGGGACAATACAGACATCGTATATAAACACCAGGGACAATACAGACATCGTATATAAACACCAGGGACAATACAGACATCGTATATAAACACCAGGGACAATACAGACATACAACGTACATAGACACAGAGAGAATTACAGACATCGTATATAAACACCAGGGACAATACAGACATCGTATATAAACACCAGGGACAATACAGACATACATCGTACATAGACACAGAGACAATACAGACATCGTATATAAACACCAGGGACAATACAGACATCGTATATAAACACCAGGGACAATACAGACATCGTATATAAACACCGGGGGCAATACAGACATACAACGTACATAGACACAGAGAGAATACAGACATACAACGTACATAGACACCAGGGACAATACAGACATACAACGTACATAGACACAGAGAGAATACAGACATCGTATATAGACACCGGGGACAATACAGACATACAACGTACATAGACACAGAGAGAATACAGACATCGTATATAGACACCGGGGACAATACAGACATACAACGTACATAGACACACAGAGAATACAGACATACAACGTACATAGACACAGGGAGAATACAGACATCGTACATAGACACCGGGGACAATACAGACATACAACGTACATAGACACAGAGAGAATACAGACATCGTATATAGACACCGGGGGCAATACAGACATACATCGTATATAAACACCAGGGACAATACAGACACCGCACATAGACACCAAGGATAGTACAGACATACAACGTACATAGACACCAGGGAGAATATCGTACATAGAAACCAAGGACAATACAGACAGACATCGTACATATACACCAGGGACAAAACAGACAAGACATCGTACATAGACACCAGGGAGATTATAGACATCGTATATAGACACCAGGGGCAGTACAGAGATCGTATAAAGACACCAGGGACAATACAGACAGACATCGTACATATACACCAGGGACAAAACAGACAAGACATCGTACATAGACACCAGGGGCAATACAGACAAGACATCGCCCATAGACACCAGGGGCAATACAGACAGACATCGTACATATACACCAGGGACAAAACAGACAAGACATCGTACATAGACACCAGGGGCAATACAGACAAGACATCGCCCATAGACACCAGGGGCAAAACAGACAAGACATCGTACATAGACACCAGGGGCAATACAGACCAGACATCGTACATATACACCAGGGACAATACAGACAAGACATCGTACATAGACACCAGGGACAACATAGATATAAATACAGACATCGTACATAGACACCAGGGACAATATAGACATCGCCCATAGACACCAGGGACAATACAGACAAGACATCGTACATAGACACCAGGGACAATACAGACAAGACATCGTACATAGACACCAGGGACAATATAGACATCGCCCATAGACACCAGGGGCAATACAGACAAGACATCGTACATAGACACCAGGGACAACATAGATATAAATACAGACATCGTACATAGACACCAGGGACAATATAGACATCGCCCATAGACACCAGGGACAATACAGACAAGACATCGTACATAGACACCAGGGACAATATAGACATCGCCCATAGACACCAGGGACAATACAGACAGACATCGTACATTGACACCAGGGGCAATACAGACAGACATCGTACATAGACACCAGGGACAATATAGACAGACATCGCCCATAGACACCAGGGACAATACAGACAAGACATCGCCAATAGACACCAGGGGCAATACAGGCAGACATCGTACATAGACACCAGGGACAATACAGACAGACATCGCCAATAGACACCAGGGACAATACAGGCAGACATCGTACATAGACACCAGGGGCAATACAGGCAGACATCGTACATAGACACCAGGGACAATACAGACAAGACATCGCCAATAGACACCAGGGGCAATACAGGCAGACATCGTACATAGACACCAGGGGCAATACAGGCAGACATCGTACATAGACACCAGGGACAACATAGATATCGTCCATAGACACCAGGCGCAATACAGACAAGACATCGTACATAGACACCAGAGACAATACAGACAAGCATCGCCTGTAGACACCAGGGACAATATAGACAAGACATCGTACATAGACACCAGGGACAACATATATATCGCCCATAGACACCAGGGGCAATACAGACAAGACATCGTACATAGACACCAGGGACAATACAGACAAGCATCGCCTGTAGACACCAGGGACAATACAGACAAGCATCGCCTGTAGACACCAGGGACAACATAGATATCGCCCATAGACACCAGGGGCAATACAGACAAGACATCGTACATAGACACCAGGGACAATACAGACAGACATCGCCCATAGACACCAGAGACAATACAGACAAGCATCGCCTGTAGACACCAGGGACAATATAGACAAGACATCGTACATAGACACCAGGGACAACATAGATATCGCCCATAGACACCAGGCGCAATACAGACAAGACATCGTACATAGACACCAGGGACAATACAGACAAGCATCGCCTGTAGACACCAGGGACAATACAGACAAGACATCGTACATAGACACCATGGACAACATAGATATAAATACAGACATCGTACATAGACACCAGAGACAATACAGACAAGCATCGCCTGTAGACACCAGGGACAATACAGACAAGCATCGCCTGTAGACACCAGGGACAACATAGATATCGCCCATAGACACCAGGGGCAATACAGACAAGACATCGTACATAGACACCAGGGGCAATACAGACAAGCATCGCCTGTAGACACCAGGGACAATACAGACAAGCATCGCCTGTAGACACCAGGGACAACATAGATATCGCCCATAGACACCAGGGGCAATACAGACAAGACATCGTACATAGACACCAGGGGCAATACAGACAAGCATCGCCTGTAGACACCAGGGACAATACAGGCAGACATCGCCCATAGACACCAGGGACAATACAGGCAGGCATCGCCCATAGACACCAGGGACAATACAGACAGGCATCGCCCATAGACACCAGGGACAATACAGACAGGCATCGCCCATAGACACCAGGGACAATACAGACAGGCATCGCCTGTAGACACCAGGGACAATACAGGCAGACATCGCCCATAGACACCAGGGACAATACAGGCAGACATCGCCCATAGACACCAGGGACAATAAAGACAAGACATCGCCCATAGACACCAGGGACAATACAGACAGACATCGTACATTGACACCAGGGACAATACAGACAGGCATCGTATATAGACACCAGGGACAATACAGACAGACATCGTACATTGACACCAGGGACAATACAGACAGACATCGCCAATAGACACCAGGGACAATGCAGACAGACATCGCCCATAGACACCAGGGACAATACAGACAGACATCGCGTGCAGACACCAGGACATACAGGCATCACCCACATGCACCAAGAACAGACTCCACACATTGTACACATATGGTAATCGACGCTCGGTGTGACGAGCGATCGCTTAAACCACTTGGCTACCCCAACGCACATGTTTGTGAAGACCTGTCTTAATGGCCCCATAGACTTCATGCATAGTGCACTTCAGCTATCATGAGAGGTGGTTTGACGTAAATATATACAAAAAAATATCATAAAACAATTGATGACGTCAAAGGAGGCCGACACTACGAGACCAGCTCCGCTCTGCTACACGTGTGTAAGTCGCAGTAACAGTCTTCGAGTGTATGAAGTCTTTCCCACATGTAACAAAAGGAAACGGATAGGCGACACCAACGGCGTCATTTAGTGAGTGAGTGAGTGAGTGAGTGGACTGGGTTTAACGCCGTTTTGAACATTTGAGTTCTGTTTATCACGGCATGTCAGCTTGATGTGGGAGGAAAGCACGAAATGGTAAAGGGCGCAGTTACTGTTGGTGAAACCAACGACCACATGATGGGGACAGAGCAAGAATCAACAATCAGCGATCAGAAAATGTCATCATCCTTTGTTTTAATTCATACAGAACAAAAGGGGCACGGGTGTCCCAGTCGTCTAAGGCGCAGCGATCCGCTGTGCAGAGTTGTGTCCCTTGGGCACACCAGAAACCTATGATTGTGGGTTCGAATCCCGGTTCGCCCCGATTATGTTTCTAGTTTTGTTAGCACCATACCCGTGCTTGTGGGTTCCACCAAAGTGGTAAACGTCTGAGACCTGCATCACTTCGGGCTTTCCTCCCGCATCAAGCTGACACGCCGTGATATAACTGGAATATTCTTTAAATCGGCGTAAAACATCATTCTCACGCACTCGCTAATACAGAATAATAACAACAATGGTCATACTTACTAGCTGGTTCCGAAAACAGGATGACAGCTAAATTCTCCGGATATTCAAAGTTGGGGTTTTGTCCAGGCATGACCGCTTTATGGAGTTGTGATAGAGCCTTCTGTACTGTGGGGCGGGTCACGCCTTTCGGTAGTTTGGGAACGCCATCAAGGTGAAGGCCGTCTAATATTCTGGCCTTGACCTTTTGAAGTTGATGAAGTCGTTTCAAACTCTGGTAACTGATTTCCACTGCTTCGTCCAAAACTACTGGCCTGGCAACTAATAACAACACCACCGCAGCAAGCAAGTGACCGTGGGGCGACGCTTCCATCTTGTCAGGTTACGCTGAAAAATGAAGTCACACCGATACAATATGTCCCCGTGTAACTATGAAGGTAGCAAACGTTTCATGTTGAATAGTCCTTTCTGTTTCTTAAATCTCTGTGAAAGTTACCACGGTGTGTCCTTTAAAGGTAATGCACAAATCCAGTGTATAGAGCGACCCACCGATCTGATGTCGTCATCGCAAGCACCTGAATGCATCACCCATGCCAGTTGGAACGGATTTTAAAACATTTACATTTTCAAAAGAACCAAGAAGGTTGCCCTGTAATTCACTATTGAGGACTGTTATCATTTATTCGCGTTCTAGTTGTGAGTTCCTCTGATCATCAATTATATATGACCTCATCGGTGATTCCTTGCTCGTAATAGTATTACTAGGCGTCTGGTTAATACTATCTGTGCGGCAGGCGACTGTTGACGACGGTTTCAACACGATGGCGTTTCTGGCTTGCGCTGAAGTTACTGCCGCCAGCGATCACAAGATCAATGACTCATAGTCGGGGTTGAAATAATTCGATTTGAGATCCTTGATTCCTGTTTTCATGAATAATGAGTATATTCAGAGAGAAAATCCGATTTTCGAAGCAAAATTTCAATTGGAAAACCTGTAGGTTGATTACTCACAGAAAGACATTCAGCGCCTAGGAGCCGAATGTTTCTTTGTAGAAAAGGTTTTTCTAACAGCTTGTCACCCTTCAAAGAAAAGGGTTTAAGTTTTTTGTTGCCTCTAGTTGGCTGATTGTTTATAAACTGACAATATTTAGGATGCTGACGTAACATCGGCGTGCTGTTCATACAAATGATTCAATGTGAGAATTATATCAGTGGAAACGCGCAGTATAGGAAGAGCATGAACTGGGACACAAAACTTTTCAATATTTGTGAAACTTTATTATTACATGTTCTATATATGATACCGAATTGAACTTTTAAACAAAAATGAGATCGTGTGTTAAGTGTGGTGGAAATAGTTTCAGACAGTATTCCGTTTATTTGTATTCTACCGTTAATTTCGAAAGTGAACCAAAAAGTTAGTAAGAGATTTCATTACAGGAACTTTATATTATAAAGATTTATAAGCAAAAATGTAACGAGCGCACATATCATTTTCATTAGCAGTGTCATAATTCCAAAACCCTTTTTAATTATGTCAAATATATCACAAATAAAATTCAAATCCATTGACTTACTTAAAGTGTAATTTTAGTCCGACAGAATCATAAACAGGATTATAAAACGTATTATATTCTGTAAAATATCATTAAATAGATTAAAAGTATTCAATAATCTTATTCATAAATCGTAATCTTAAAAGAAAATAATTTTTCGTCTTACCTTGAGTATTAGAAACGTCGCTCCTGACAAGTTTTGCTACGTGTCGCCATTGCAGCTTTTGGTCGCTACTCTGTTGAGGCAAGTCAGTCAATGTCTCTGTGTGTAAAGATACTGAGAGAGCCAGCTGTCTCAGTTGAAATAATATTGCATTGTTTCACAGAAGGAAAGTTTTAATATTGGACACGGTAGATAAAACGACTCGGCAATATTGGAAGAAAGCCAGATTCAAAATGGCCGTCAGACATCGTCTGCTTGTTTTGTCAAGAGGCCAAAAGGGCGCGAAACAGTGGCGTAGTGATGCCGTTAGATGTAGACAGATGATTGGTTTGGGGGAGATAGACCCATGTCTGTTGGTTTTCGTATTGTCTGCACAATTCACGCCAGCTCGTGTTCAAGGTAGAAAGCCTGGTTAGGTTGGCCATTAATTGGTACGAACTGGACGTCTGGGCTGAAAATGCCGCTAATCAGTAACAGAGTATGAAGCTTAGAGCTCCACAGCAGGGAAAACATGGCCTGAGTATCATATGTACGGGTGGTTCATTGTTGTAATAGTAACTTTGATTGGGAACAGAGATTCCTAACAGTTTCAAAACATGTGCGAGGCAAAGGGTTAGCCTAGTGGTACACGCACTCGCTCGTCATGCAAAACAAGCGGGTTTGTTTCCTCACTATACAACATGATGGTTCCCACGCCTCTTTAAAGAACTGATAAACTGTGAGTAAAGATGTATTCATGTTACTGGTACTAAAACTAGTTTTCGTGTACTAGTAATGTCAGCTGGACTCAAGGTTAGACTAATCAGCGCACAAAGCCTCTGTACAGACTTGACGACGAGCCCCATCTCAAACAAACGTCTTCCCGTGTCACCCTAACCTCGTCCATTCTCACCCTAACGTCGTCCCTTTCAGACAAACGTCACCCCTTCTCATACAAGCGCTCCTCGTCTCATCCTAACCTCACCCTCTGTCTCCTCTCACCTTTCACACAAGCGTCATCCCCTGTCACACAAGCGATGCCTCCTCACACTAACACAGTGTATAACAAGTAGATGTTCTTGGCAATCAACAGCAAGTAGCTAGATATACGAGTGGAATGAATAAGACGTAGAAGTTCTTACAGAAAAAGAATAAGAGGTAGATATTTTAACAGAAAGGATAACGGATAAATGTTCTTGGGGAACTAACAACAAGTACATGTTCTTGAGGAACTAATAACAAGTAGATGTTCTTGAGGAACAAGTAGATATACTTACGGAATAAATATCAAGTAGGTGTTCTTGAGAACCTAATAACAAGCAGATGTTCTTGACGAATAATTAAAAAGTAGATGTTCTTGAGGAATAAATAAAAAGTAGATGTTCTTGAGGAATAAATATCAAGTAGATGTTCTTCAGGAATAAATAAAAAGTAGATGTTCTTGAAGAATAAACAATATATGTTCTTGGGGAATAAATAAAAAGTAGATGTTCTTGAGGAATAAATAACAAGTAGATGTTCTTGAGGAACAAGTAGATATACTTACGGAATAAATATCAAGTAGGTGTTCTTGAGAACCTAATAACAAGCAGATGTTCTTGAGGAATAATTAAAAAGTAGATGTTCTTGAGGAATAAATAACAAGTAGATGTTCTTAAAGAATAAATAACAAGTAGATGTTCTTGAAGAATAAATGAAAAGTAGATGTTCTTGAGGAATAAATAAAAAGTAGATGTTCTTGAGGAATATATAAAAAGTAGATGTTCTTGAGGAATAAATAAAAAGTAGATGTTCTTGAGGAATATATAAAAAGTAGATGCTCTGGAGGAATATATAACAAGTAGATGTTTCAACATAAAATATACAAAGTACAATGTAGACATTCTTACAGAATGAATAGCAAGGGGGTGTACTTGTAGAATAAAACCAAGTAGATATTCTGAAGGAATGAATAACATGCAGATGCCCTTAAGGAATGAATAACAAGTAGATGGTCCTATTGAATGCATAACACGTAGATTTTCTTACAGAATGAATAACAAGTAGATGTATTTTTGAGTAATAGATACCAAGTATATAGGTGTACAATCGATTCTGCTTTACGCAGAGATTTCTCATGGATATAGGAAGGGGCTTTGTCGCATTTGTTTACGGGATGAATAACAAGAGGATGTTCGTATGGAACGAATAAAAAATAGGTTTTGTTGTAGGGTGATAATAACTAGATGTAATTGTGGGATGGATTACAATGATATATTTTTCTAAGGAAATAATAGCAAGTAGATATTCTTGTAGAATGAATAACAAGTAGATGTTCTTTCTGAAGTGCAACAAGTAGATATGTTTTTATGGAATGAACAGCAAGAATGTGTTCTTCTGGAACTGGTAACAACTAGATGTACTTGCGCAAAAAATTACAAGTTGATGTTCTCGTGTAATTAATAAAAAGTAGATTTTTAATGGACATAATAGCAAGTAGATGTGCTTGTGGAATGAATAGCAAAAAGATGTTCTGTCCGTAGAATAACAAGGAGATATTCTTACGGAATTATCAACAGGTCGATGCTCTTACAGAATGAATCACAAGTAAATGTTCTGATATAATCGCAAATGACTTCTCTATAATTGACAATAACAACCTTCGTCGGTTATTGAAATATTGTCCAAAATATCGTGAGCCGTCTTCTACCATTTGGGATCACAAATTTAAAATCATTATAGATGACGTCGAAGTTTAAGCAAAAAATGGGCCAAAAGAGAATAATTCCGTGAAGGGAGAGGAACCTGTTGAATGGGTTAAGTCAGTGCGGGATGTTGTCACTGGTAGAATGCACAAACTGAAACAGAGGAAACGGAATTGAAATAAACCCATTCTGTCCCAGCCGCTGCCATCCAAAGTCTAGCTGCTGTACTTGAAAAGTTTGTGGTTGTTCCCACTGAAAAAGCCTCAAATAACATATCCATTATATGTAAGCATCACTATAATACTTGTATGATTAAAAAACTAGGTAGTGCGACACATAATGCCAGTATGTTAACTAAGGAAGAAATCTGCCCAAACCATCCATCAGTACTATCAAATTTTGGCTTGACACCATCTTGCCGAGGCAAGGGAGTTAACTGACTATAAAAGTCCACTTTCCACCCTTGCCGGACTAGGCTGGGATATCTGGGCTTGATCGTAGCCCACGAGTGGCTATTACGAGTTATGTCCCTTCTATAATTGACCAATCAGATTCCACCTCTCTAATCACTTGCATTTGCTTCAAACAAAATGGTGGCGCCCATTAAAGACGATGAGATCGATAATCAAAATCTATTTTGTAATAAAACGGGTCTTACTTTGCGAAGTGCATAAAATCACGTGAGCACGTTAATTTAAAACATGACAAGATTTAGAAAATATCTGTTGACGCTGAGTTGGCGATACAAATTCTTTGCAAATCCTGCAATCGACCGAGAGATATATTGCTGGGTCCAGCAAATGTACCACTAAGTCTCTGTCTCAAAGGTTAACCATAATCCTTAATATAATCAAGGAAAGACATTATATTCACAGAACCTATTTGAGACCTCTATGTCGAGCAGGGGCGGGTAGCCTAGTGGTTAAAGCGTTCGCTCGTCACGCCGAAGACCCGGGTTCGAATCCCGACATGGGTACAATGTGTGAAGCCCATTTCTGGTGTCCCCCGCCGTGATATTGCTGGAATATTGCTAAAAGCGGCGTAAAACCGTACTCACTCACTCACTCACTATGTCGAGCAATATTCTTGCAGCTCCAGGCTTTCACTTCTGATATATATAAATATATATATACTCTTCCAGAAAAGAAACTATACATGCATAAATTTGATGACACCTGACCTGATCGTTTTTGTATGGTAGAAATTTAATTATATTTCTTAACTTATCATTAAATTAATATGCAGATTGCCCGAAACGTAATGTTGTGACGTCGCGACGGAGTAGTTCGCCCAAACGCAGCTGCAATGCCATAAACCAGCAGCATGCAGTTTTCTGAACTGTCGTGACAATTCCTCTGTCACCAAGGCTAGGACAATGACTGCTGACGCACACATCAGAAATTCAGAAAATGAGCCGTTAAAATGCCACGTCTATCAGAAGCACAACGCAACAACGCCATCGGCCGACTGCAAGCGGGTGGAACACAACAGCATGTGGCACAGGTGATGGGTGTGACCAGATTGACTATCTCTAACTTGTGGAGACGTCACAACACCACCGGCAACGTTCGTGACAGGCCACGGTCAGGACGACCTCGCGTTACAACGCCTGGCTAAGCTCGCTACATCCGGATACGACACCTGCGGGATCGTTTTATCACGGCAACGTCAATAGCCTCACAAGTACCGGGACTGCGTCGAATATCGGATCAGACTGTTCGAAATCGTCTTTGCCGGTATTCTAGCCAGGAGACCCGTGCGGCGTAACATCCTGACGCCGGATCACCTCCGTGAACGTCTGCAGTGGTGTCGTCAGAGAGTCACATGGCATCAAGCAAGATGGAGACAGTCCCGTTTTCTGCTGAAACGTGCTGATGGACGTGCCTGTGTGTATCGACGTCGTAACGAACGTTACGCTGAAAATTGCGTTCAGCAAGTGGATCGTTTTGGAGGGAGAAGCGTCATGGGTAGGGTAGGCATACGACTCTTGCTCAGAGTGAGTGAGTAAGTATGATTTTACGCCGATTTTAGCAATATTCCAACAATACCACGGTGGGAGACACCAGAAATGGGCTTCACGCATTGTCGGGAATCGAAACCAGGTCTTCCGCGTGAAGAGCGAACGCTTTAACCACTAGGCTACCCGACCGCCCCCTCTTGCTCCGAAGTTGTTTCATCAAAGTTACACCATCCAATTCCTCAGTAAAGCTTTCAAAAAGTTTTACGGCAGACAAAAGAAGGACATTTCCAACTTTGACGCATCATTTCCCTATTTTGACTTGCACCATATGTTCCCGTGGTTTTTTAAGGTGAACAATTGACTTGCCTTTGCATGTGTTTGTGACGGATGCCACCGGTGAGGCAGGATACACTCACCTTTTCGCGAACACCTGGCATCATCACTATTTAATAGTGATTCATAAACACATGCAACTGATATAGTCGTAATCGTACGATCGACTCGTACTTGCTTTTGGCATAGATATCTCACGTACATGTGAAGCGTGTGTCGCTTTTATTTAAGGGATGAATAACAAGTAGATGGCATTTCCGAAGAACATTCCAGCAATATCACGGCGGGGTCACCAGTAATAGGCTTCACACATCTATCCATGTGACAAAT